TGCTGGTCTAACAGGAGTCACCCTGGTGTGGCCTTGGGCAAGTCCCTTTGCCTCTTGGGGTCTCAGTTTCCCCTTCCATTCCGGGTGGGCCGAGGCTGGGGCCCTTCCCGCTCCCCTGCAACGTTGTCCATCTCTGAACGTTCAACTCGCTTGGTGCTGGGCACGAGGACCTGCACCAGCCGGGGCCCGCAGCACTCTGTTGGGAGAAGGAATCAGGGAAGTGGGCTGGGGCGTCAGGCTTCTTGGAGAGTTCAGCAGGACTTTCAGCACTGGCTCTTATCAGAGGCTGTAAATCTGCTGGTTGCCATGACTACGGGAGAGCAGCAACTAAGCTCCAGGTCGCTGATTAGCAGGGAAGGGGAGCGGGAGGCCTGGGTGGGGATCGGCACTCAGGCCCCCCTCCCTCCCTCCGGGAGGTGGAAGCAGCCCGCTGACCTTTGACTTCACTGTGCCAGCCTCCCCTGAAGGAGCTTGCCTTTCTTTTAAGTTTTTTTTTTAATGCAGCATCGAAGGGCTATGTGGGAAAACGGGTCCTTTCTTCAGCAAAGATGGAACACAGTTTTCTTAAAATCCTGCAAAGCCTGGCCGGCATGGCTCAGTGGTTGAGCATCGACCCATGAACCAGAAGGTCACAGTTTGATTCCGGGTCAGGGCACAGGCAGGCCCGATCCCCAGTGGAGGGCGTGCAAGAGGCAGCCGATCATACTTCTCTCATCATTGATGTTCTATCCCCCATCCCTCTCTTTCTCTCTCTGAAATCAATAAAAATATATATTTTAAAAACCTGCAAGGATGCAGATTTGGAGGCAGGGAAGGGAGGGGAGTGGGGCCGTGAAGGGAGGGCACTTTTAAGTTGCAGCCAGCCCACTACACCTGTCTCATGAAAGCATCACCAGGAGGCCCCCATCCTGGATTCTGAGCCCTGCTGAAGGCAGCGATGGATGAGGCATTGTCTTCAACCTGAGCCTATGCCCAGTGCCTGGCAGTACCGTATCTCCCTGCAGTTCGACTTCTTCGAGACCGAGGGCAACGACGTAAGTGCTGCGTGGGCTGAGGAGACGCAGGAAGGTCTGAGGCATGGGAACTCGGCTCGATGCCTGCTTCCTACCCTCTGAAACAAACATACTCCAAGAATGTAGAGGGGAGAGGGAGTCAGGGAAGCAGGGGCCGCTAGGGGAGGCGGGAAGACCCCGGAGCCCGTGGCATGTGGGAATGAAGGACATGGGGTCCGGAAGCCTGTGGAGTGAGGCAGGGCTGGGTCCATCTGATGGCAGCAGAGTGGCACCGATTTGAATTGTTAGGTTTGGTAAAGCAGGTAACTGCAGGAGAAAGGACCCACAGAACAGGAGGGCTCCTGGGCCGGGTGGTCAGGAGAGGCTTCCTGGAGGAGGTGGGCCTGGAGCCGCACTCCCCTGCAGGTGTGCAAGTACGACTTCGTGGAGGTGCGCAGTGGACTCACAGCTGACTCCAAGCTGCACGGCAAGTTCTGTGGCTCTGAGAAGCCCGAGGTCATCACCTCCCAGTACAACAACATGCGCGTGGAGTTCAAGTCCGACAACACCGTCTCCAAAAAGGGCTTCAAGGCCCACTTCTTCTCAGGTAACATGGACTCCCCAGCTCCGAGCCGCTCTCTTGCTTCCTGCTGGTACCTGCAGCAGGGTCTGTCCCTGTTCCCACACTGGCCCTCCACCACCAGGCCAGCCCCTCCGCCCTGAACCCCATTATTCCAGAGCCCTCAGGGTTCTATGGAGGCTGACCTGCGGCCGGGCAGGACACAGGCAGGACACAGAGATGCAGAAATGAAGGGAGAGGGTGGGCCGGGTGTCAGGAGTCTGAGAGCGGACAGGCCCTGGGGACAGGCGGTTCAGTGTGGCTGGAGGACAGGAGCTGTGAGCAGAGAGCAGGAGGGCGTCTGCATGGACAGGGTGGCTGTAGCCAGACTGCTAACCAGACCTGCAGGCTCCAGATGGGTTCATGCCTAGGAAGCAGCCTCCCTCCCTCCAACACCAAAGCCTCCCCCCCCCAGCCTGCAGGTCAGGGACTCAGGTTCAGCCAGCATTTATTTGACTAATTATTCATTTAAAATTATTTATTATATTATTATATTTACTTATGTACTATCTGTATATATTTAGTTAGTTTATTGAGAGTTGCCTTGGGGTTGAGTCCCCATGATGGCCCCATCTTCAGGTGACCTAAAAGGTAGTCACAGCCCCTGCCCAGCCTCTGAGCTTGACCTCCGGGGGTCCCAGGAGACCTCTCCCTGCTTTCTTAATCCCTCTGGGGCCAGGCTGGGGAGGGGGGCCGGTGGTCTTTTCTGAGGGCAAGGTAGGACCTGGGGACCCAGACAGTACAGGGGCAGGGGGAGGGGCTTTGTTGGGGGGCAGCTGGGGAGTGCTCACCCCCAGCACACCTGGTGGGTGGGGCACGGGCGGCAGGAAGGCAGGAAGCCCACGGCCTGTCCACGCTGCCTTCCTTCTCCCCTCCTTTGCCCAGGGTCCTGCATCCTCCAGCCCCTCTGTGGCCGCCCTGCACCCCTGCCTGCCCCACCTGGATGCCATGCACTGCCCCTGTGCACTGGTTCCCTGCTTGGCACTGCCAGCCACCCTGCTTTGCTTAAAGTGCCCATAGTCCCTGCCCCTGGCTTGCTGAGACCCTCCCCTTCCAGTGCAAACCCCTTTCTTCCCTGCGCCCACCTGGAACTCCTACAAGGTGCTCACCAGAGGGCTGAGGGGACATAACACCTACTCAGGTGTGGGCTCGGCCCCGGGGAAACCATTACCTGCTTACTCTCGTCTCTTCCTGCCCTTCTGTCGCTCCAGTCATGGAGGGGGAAGGGGACTGACACCACGTCTGTCAGGCCTAGAGCCCAGGGCTCTCCACCCATGGTTACTGGCATGGCACTGTGCCCACCCACCCTCAGTCCCGCACAGAGATGCCCATACACACATGTGGGCGGGCGAGCACACACACACACACACACACACACACACGTGCGTATTGCCCCATCGCACAAGAAACCTGCCAAGGACCCTCACCAGTGGGCATCAAGGTCCAGCCCTCAGGGCATGGGGCATCTGACCCTGGCCCCCCAGGAGGGGGGCTCTTTGGAATTTTGGGACACCGAGCGAGGAGACTCTAAGCCAAGAAGGAGAAGAAAAAGCCTGAAGAACTTCAGTCTGATCTCAGCCACCTTCCGGGGCATTTGGCACTGGAGGGTGAGTGCCATCTTCTTGTCTGGGCCCATGTCCACCCCCCCTGCTCCTGCCCCTCCTGCGACCTGCCCCCCTGGCTTCAAGGGGAGGCTGCCCACCCCCAGGGATGCGAGAGCAGGTCTTCCTCAGGATTCACTTTTCCTCATTCATTCGTTCAGCCATTCACGTACTCACTCATTCATTGGGCAAGTGTTTTTTATCCCTACTATCCGCCAGGCCCTATACTAGGTGTTTGGGGTACAAATATGAGGAAGGTGTGGTCAAAACATTTCAGAGAAATCTTTGCTCAGTCCATGAGCTCCCAGCATAGTCGCCGGTGAGTTCCTCAGTAACACCCCATGACGGTCATCGGGTCTCCATCACCCCCACTTTCCTGCGGGGCGGATGCAATGCAGCTTCCTCAGGCCCTCAGTCAGGGTCTCAGTGAGGTTCTAACTGAGAAGGAGCCCTTCAAAGAGACTCTACCTCTTTGCCTTGGGTTCCTGCAGGCCCCAAGGGGTCTGGCCCACCTGAGAACGGATTGGAGAAGCAGGTCCTGGGAGCCAGGGCTCCAGCCCCTGGGCCCCTCTCCTGAGGGAGGCAGGGCTCCCCTTGGCACAGACCCCACTGGCCATGTGAATGCCAACAGGCATCTTTCTACCTTGGGTTCATCTCTGAAATTCTGGGTGCCCATTCAGTCCACACACCTTCCTGAATGCCTGCCTCAGTGCCAGGCACATGGTCCCCAGAGTGACCACGAACATGTGGGTGTGACCGACATGCCTCTGTGACCAGGTGTCTGTGTCAGTGGGCACCCTGAAGTGTGTGTCTCTGTGTGCACGTGTACACAGATGGGTGGATGGCTGTAATGTGTGCGCGTGTGGTATCTGTCTGCCCTGTTTGTGTGTGACATGTATCCTGTGTACACATAGGTGTGAGCCTGTGGGTCAGTGTCTGTGCTGCCATGTTGGGACGACAGTGCATCATGTGGGTGTGTGTCTAACATGCTCTGTAGCTGCAGCATCCAGAGTGAGAGAGCAGAGCTCTCCCCAAGCCCCAACCCCTTCCTTGGACTGAGCCCCTCTGCCTGAGACTGTTTCTCTCCCCGAGTGCACGGGCCTCGTGCCCAGCCCTGCAGGCCTTCTCCCTGCCACAGGCTTCCTCCCCATCCATCCATCCATCCATCCATCCCTGTCGCTGTGCTCCTCCCACCTGCCACCCCTCGGTGCCCTGGCTGCGCAGACATGGCCTCCTGCATGTGTGTGCCCCTGCCTTCCGCCTGCCCCGTGGCTCTGCCTCGAGGCCTGGGTCTGGTTTTCATTGCTCTCCCTGTCTGATCCCTGCCCTCCACCCTCCACCCTCTTGGTCCCTTTTCTCCTTCTCTCTCTCTCGTTTCAGAAAAGAGGCCGGCTCTGCAGCCCCCTCGGGGACGACCCCACCAGCTCAAATTCCGAGTACAGAAAAGAAACCGGACCCCCCAGTGAGGCCCCCCAGCCTCCCGGACCCTTTGTTACTCAGGAACCTCACCTTGGACAGAATGGGATGGGGGCTCCCGAGCCGCCCACCCCCACCTCCGCTCTGCCACTCCGGCCTGCCTCCCTCTGGCCGGACAGAACTGGTGCTCTCCTCCTCCCTGCGTCCCCCTCACATGGACAGGGGACCTTCCCCATCCCCACACCCTCCCATGTTGATGGTGTCTGTGACATTATCCTGTTGTGAAGTAAAAAAGGGACCCCTGCGTCCTGCTCCTTTCTCTTGCAGTCTGCTTGTCCGTGTGTCTGTTTTTC